AATGCATTAAATAGTTTTCATCTTATGTGACATTGTATAAGATCCTCCATATGTGCTTCAGGTCCCTGTTGCTCATGCTCAATTTGTAAATCTCTTACTTAATTTATATGTGTCTTACACATCAATCATGGTTACTGGAAAGACCTTAGTGTTGGCCATGGTTTATTCAAGGCTTCTATGCCATCCTGTGTGGCCATTGTGGAGCCTTGTCACTGCACTATATTCTCACACTCTGCGTGTGAGGAGGCCATGGGTCCATCATCTTGCATAGCCCTATTGTGCTGACTGGTTGGGAATATTTGAGGAGAGTGGGTTTTTTTAGGCTTATTTTATTAGAAGGATTTGATCCTGTTCTTAGGCAGCAGGGCTACTAAGTGAGTAAATAAAATCGAAATTGACTGGGTTAAGTTTAGTAATTTATCAATTAAACTATAGGCACCCAGATCACTTAATCTCATTGAAGTGGTTTGGGTGCAGTGTCTCTGTTCTCTGAACCCTGCAATGTAAAACATTGTAGTTTTTAAAGAGACAGCGACTAGAGGCACAGTCTCATGGAATATGACTTTGTGAAATGATGCTGGATGTCTTCACACTTTGCATGAGGACATCCAGCGTGTGGTAAAATGTTTTCCTATGGGGAAGGCCTAATGCGTGCATGGTGCTTGCCGCACAAGTGCTTAAGGTTCCCCCTATTGACTGACGTTGAGAGAAAAGGAGCCCAACTCTGGACTGAGGAACATCGGTGCTTGGGTCAGGTAAGTGAATTTTTTTTTTATCTCCTTACATCACCAGAAGGGGGGCACAAGACAGAGCAGTGTTCCTGTAGTGTTTAGAATACAACTTTGTATTCCCAACTCTATAATGTTCTTTTAAAGAACTGGTGTGAGCAGAGAGTGGATATCACACAGTCACGAATGATGAAGTCAAGTTTTGCCCAGGAAGAGAAATATTTTTAACTCCCATCCCTTTTCATGTATTGAAACAATGTGACTAGTTTTATCTCTTAACGAGATCAATGGTGAAATTAAAATTAAGCGAAGAACATTTTTACTTTCAAGATTATAATAAATTATAATACACATTTAAAGGTACTTTTATCAGGTACAATACTTATAGTATAATTTGTTTGTCAAAACTAAGCATCATTCATCATTTTTATGTAAAGGGTTAATGTCTCCGTGATAACCCATGCTGGCTTAAGCTTTTAGGTTGAAGCTGCATACATAATTATTTTTCAGGTTGTGGAAAAATACTAAATGCAGGGGGGAAAAAGGTATTGCTTTTGTTAGAAGGCAGCAGGGCTTCTTTGAAAATCTAGGATGGAAAGTTGAGGGCGGAGGGAGTACATATTTATTTCCACCATTTCTCCATTTTAAGCTCATTCACTGAACCTTTAGAGGCGGTTCTGTACCGATTAATGCTGCCTGCGCGAATCATGAATCCATTTACAGGAACTCTCAAACTGTACGCACTCTCAGACAACTACGTTTTTAAAGCTCTGCTACTATAGAAAACAAACAAAATAACAGAGAATAAACTGAGATGGCCCTGCATTGCACATTCAACAGCGAAGGGTTAGAAGCAATATGAAGAGAAACAACTCTTTTGTGTCTGAGTTTATATCATTAAGCTCTAATTATTTTCAACCTTATCAGCAGTAGCAGATAAGATTTCCATTAAGAAAACGAAAAAGGTAAAAAGATCTCAATATAGGATTGGGTCATTATTAAAGATAGCTAATCACAGCAGTGCCAGGGCAGCAGGGTAGCGTGGAAACTACTGAGCCATGCATGCCCAAAATAACAGCTGTTTAAGCAGCAATCAGTTCTTGGTTGGAGGTATACTTGTACTAAAAGATTTAAGACATTACAGTTATTTGCAGAAATGAGTGCACTGCAGTGTATCTATAAGAATGTAGAACTAACCTTTCAAGTTTCATTTCTGTGGATGGATCTCCAGAGTATTTTTGTCTGAATATGACAACTGCTACATCTGATATTTTAGAAATCTCAGAAATTAGTTGAATAGATACAGCTATTTTGGTAAATGTGTTGATTGTGGGACCTGTTCAGTCCTTAATGTTGAAGGTTTGTTGTTAGCAGAGTCAACTTCATTTATCCTTCCAAGATCAGTAGAACAGTTATAATTACCTTTTCAAATGGTAAAAGGATACTCCTCTGCCAAAATATAAGACAAAAAATAAATAAAAAATCACTATTTTGTAGTTATGAAAACATACATAGATTTAATTTTGCAGGTTATTTTCACCGGGGGTATATTCAAAAACAATTTGCAAAACCTGCAAGCCTTCCTCTTTTTTCCCAGGCGAGACTTTCTGAGTCTGTACAAATACAAGACTTCCACTGCAAACCAGAAAAAAACTTTGTGCAAGGCAGGTCCTCTGGGCCTCTTGGGTTTAGCTCACCTGAGCTCAGCAACTAGGAAGAAACAGGACCGGTAGTCAGATTAACAGCCATGGGGTATAACAAGGTTAATTTATAAAAGTGGCAATTTCTGTTGCAAAAAAGGACACACTCTATACACATGTTCTAGGTGTTTGAAGTGTTCCTTTAATCAGTCCCTTACACTATTAAATCTGTAAGTATGCACAAAGCACTTTGAACACCATCAAGGGTAAAAGATTCGTGCTTAAGACGTTCTGTTAACGGTTATGCCCTTCGGATCATTTGTTTGCTGGAATGTCAGAGGACTGGCAAGGATATCATAGGCAAGAGATAATAAAAGGAGGTTTCTAAGTAGCCGCAGGCTGAGCAATAGAAAGGTCTTCCAGGCAGAATTGACTGATCAACGACATTCTGTTTGTGAATTATGCAAGTTTGGTAGGACTTGGAAATTTTGCAATATGTAAAATTAGTGAGTTCTTCTGAGATTATGAATTACATGCATATTTCTAGGTCACACTTTCAAGTTCTGCCTTACACAATGTAGATTGATGTATTCCTGTAGAAATTAGATGATGATCTGGTAACCCCACTTCCCAATTATTCTATTAAGGAACTGCTAGAGACAGAGTCATCGCCAGCGAAAGATTATGCATTGCATTGGAAGAATTAAAGCAAATAAACAATTCAGAATCACTAAACATGACTTTTGCATGGTTATTGCTAGTAAGTCCAGCAAAGCATAAATTATGCTACATAAAAAAAAAGATATACAAAGGGTGATGTAGACAACCGTGGCTCTCCAAGAAAAAGGAAGGGACTCTTCTTTGAAACATAGGAAGCAGGAGGTCAGTGAACACTTTAGGAACCAAATTGGAAGGAAAGATGGGTCCTGAAGCTAGGAGATGCAGTGGATTATCACGATTTAACATGACAGAAATGGGGTCTTCAGAGACCCATAGAATCAAAATAATGCCATCAAGGTCAGTGTTATAACTCAATCCTCTTTAGGTACAACATGCGTGGTTGATATCTGGATTCAAAGTCTCATGCTAAGCTACTGTACAAAACACTGCACATTTACCCAGTGTTACATACATTAGCATTCCTGTGCTTCTGTCAGTACATATGAAATATAAATATTTGAGAATTGCTTTTGAGGTCTACAATTTTTTATGGACATAAGCTATAATATCCATTAATCATCCAAACAACAAACCAATTATATTATTTTATAAAAAAAAAAAAATGTTTTCCACCATTTCTCCACAGCAATCTCTCTCTGGAAAATATTATAGGGATTAAGGAAAATACAGAAGGGAGTCATGTTAATTTAAAAATGATGGATCATCTAGCAGCGGTACCTAAATCACAAAAATCTATATTTATTTGGAGGAGATGAAGAGTCATTGAATGAGAATAGATAATATATACTCATTCCCATCTGTTCTTCTGTATACACAGTATTTTTTCACGTGGGACTTACTGTACACATCCATTAATAATATCCTCTAAAAAATTAAAAATTGTAGGATTTTTTCATTTTCCCTCTGTCAGTTCACAGCAGTCACCTCATTGAATTAAAATGTACATATTAAGGGTTCTGCATAGTTCTGTATCAGATGTGTGATATGTAGAACAGTAAGCAATGAAATAGCTCATGCTTGCTATATTTTAAACTGTGGCTTTTCAGACTTACCCTTATGTGCCTCAAGGAGGATAGTCATGACTGAAAAATAATTTAAATAATTAATGTGGCAGTTTGACTTATTGACTTACCTGCAGTTTGCAAAGGGTTTTTAATGGCATATTAACGGTTCTTGAGGATACATTCGGAAAAGCCTATGTTAGTCAATTAAGTTCTAATTCCTTGGGGAATTAATAAAGACTCTAAGATGCAGTATTAGATATGCTCCAGTCTGAAACAATACAAGGTACAGCATCTGAAAAGTGTCACATTGCAATTACTACTGAGTTTGCAGGTAGTGGAATGGAGAGGTAGTCTCATGCTGGATGGGTGCTGGGGGACTTTAGGACTTTGAGTCCTATTTCAAATAAATACCTGCACTCCTATGCACAATAAAAAAAATAATCTAATTGTATTACATAATCAAAGAATAAAAAACATTCCAAAATGATCTATATACACCTATCCAGGAATACTAGTCAAATCATTGGTATATAATCAACACATGATAATAACATCAGTTTTACATATAATTTCATGTGTATATACATTTCAAGGAAAATAAAGAAAAAAAGGCAAAATAAATCATTGGCTATAACATGAGCTTAATCCAAAAACAAACAATTGAATTCATAAATTTTGTAGCTTAACCTCAGATCCCCTGCACTGGCTCTGCATAGAAACAGCAATGTGAGGGTAGCATAGACAGCAAGCAGGTGCCAAGGAAGACAAATGAATCGCATATTTTAGAACAAAATATTCTAACTGGAAAATTAATTTCGAATTCAGCTATTTTTGAAGCTCAACTATATTGGACTAAAATGTGAAATTTCCTTGTCATGGACACACTTTCAATTTTATCCGTTTCAATAATCCATTGAATTCCCTATTGTAAAAAAAATAAAATTAGAGTTTTCATTGTGGACTTTTCAATTAATCAGCACAAATCTAGCACGATAGATTTGTGCTGATTAATTGAAAAGTCCACAATGAAAACTCTAATTTTATTTTTTTGGGTGATAGCTATATACAGCTGCCCCTACCCCACTATTCCCTCTCTTGGATTCTGTCAAATACTTAATTTGCTTTATAATCGATATAAACCACCTAAGATTTTGTTCATCTTTGCAGAATTCTGCACCAGTTACAAACTTTCTACTTGGACTTCTCAAAACTGGCATCCTTCTACAACAACCAACTCCCTCAGTCTCTTCAACACATGCCTCGAGTTGGGACATTAAGTCAAGTGACCTGGTTATAAATGTTTATATAATATTACCTGCACCATGTCACAACAAGAGAAAGTTTTTATGAATGCATAAATGCCTCAAGGTTTTGGCTTTACATTCCCATCCTGCTGCTAAGTCCTGATAATAACGGTATAAGTCTGTCTCTTATTTCCAGTCTTGGTTTGTATAATAGCTGAGGTCCACAGGGTATACTCTACGGATTATAGCAAATGTTAAACTTTATCCTTTAAATCCCCCGGAGGATTTGCATTACATACAAGCAAAATGGCACTGGAGGACTGATATGCCCTTTAAGCCATACACTTTTTATTTTACTGTTCTTTAAAGCTAAATAATGGAAGGAGGAAACCAAACCATAATTCTTTTTTACCTTCCATTCACTCTAAAGTATTTAATGGATTCCACATCACTGCACGAGTTGTTTCCAAAACAAATGTTCTGTAGAAATAATGCTTGTTATGTAACGAGCTCTTAATGTTTTGTGATGTAATGGACGATGTATTGGTCTAAAATCCTTATGATGCTCTGTTCTGGCTTAATTCATTTCCATTATTATTGGTGTATTTCCTTACTTAAGAAACACAGTGGATGAAATTATTAAGCAAACTTCTTGCATGATAATTTGCCCTTTGATAATTGTACATTCATTATTAAACCAAGAGATTTCTTACTACTGATTCACTAGTGCAAATCAGACCAGCCTCACCACTGCCTCTGTTTGGACTTGATGCTTTCTAATGAGTCTGAACTGGAGCTTAATGAGCAGCTCGTTGGGACTGCTCACACCTTCCACACTAATATATGGGGGACAGTTGGAGAGAAAGGATAAGAGGAACTGATGGATAGAGGCTGGGGTATGGTCACTCTATAATACTTCCTGGGCCTTTAGCTCAAATCAAAATGTGATGACCTTGTCTTCAAGGTCAATCCCCAATGCCATGCTTTAACCTCTTTTGTCATGTATATCTCATTCCCAGCTCTGTAATTTAATTCCTCTATCTTCCCTAATGCCTTCTGTCCCCCTTCCTATCTCGCTAACATGCCATTGTGTCCCTTTTTTTCAACTCACCTCTATTAAGCCCTACTACTCATTACTCTAGCAGTATGGCCAAAAGGAATGTTTTGAAGCCCTGTTGTGTTACTTTAATTACATGATAAAACCACTAGCATCCACCTGAAGGGATCTAGGGATGAAGAACCATATATCTGGGGCTTTAGCCCCCAAAGGCTCCACATAACAAGGACTATGGACAGGCGAGAGCCTTTATGGGAGGTAATATTAAGATGAAAATTAAATACAGGCATACAAAGGGAAAAGAAAGTTAAACAGAGAGAAACAAAATGTACACAATAGGTGGGACACCTATGAAAGTATATATGTGTCCATGGAAGTAACAGTTCTTGAACTTTCTCTAGCATTGGTAGTATCACAGTATAACAATGCTTGAATGAATCACATGGCATTAGGGTAATTTGGCACCTATCAGTTCTATATTCAAGCCAAATGGAATGGCAACAAGTGAGAGTGACAGCCAGTAAAATAATCTGGCATGCTCACGTAGCTTAGATGTTGCATTAAGTCATGTGACACTATCTCTCTTGAGACTTAAGCTGTGGATATAACATTCCTTACAAGTGAAAAAAGCAAAGGAAAAAAACCAAGAAAATCACATTTTTATAAATCATGAAATAACAATATCTCTTTTGCATCATTGTTGCCAGGAGAGTCAGAACATCAATTTTTACTTGCATTATTCAGTTAAAAAGTTCAGAAGGTAAGGATAGAAGATAAATCAAATAATTTCTACTACGTAGGAACGTAGGGATATTATCTACTTTAGTTTTTATGCTGAGTTTAAAGGGTTTACAACTGTTTCACATTCTGATGTTTTCTCTTTCTGTCAAATTGTCATTCTTTGATCATGCATCTAAATGTTAATTTGAGAGATATTTATTCCAAGCTATTACAAATGCATGATGACAGAGTTATTCACCAAAGTGAGAAATCAAAGTGAATTTCACATTTGAAGCCAAAGTAGCTGAATTGACAGCATAGCTGAATTGTCTACTTTGACCTTAAAGAAACACTATAGAGTCAGGAACATAAACATGGATTCCTGACCCTATAGTGTTAAAACCACCTTAGAAGGGGTTAAAACATACCTTATTTTCCAGCACCGTGCGGGCACTTCCAAAGGAAGCACCTCCAGTGGCCATCTGAGGAGTGGCCACAGGAGGTGTCCCTAGGGTGCAATATTAACACTGGCTTTTCTCTAAAAAGGCAGTGTTTGCATAAAAATGCCTGAAGGTAATGATTATACTCACCAGAATAACTACATTAAGCTGTAGTTGTTCTTGTGACTATAGTGTTCCTTTAAATTTGAATTTCACAAATAATTTTGGTGAACATTTTTGTGAAAATAGGGAAAATCCTGCAAGCGTTCATATTTGTCATTTTCAGTTGGAATCTCTGTAGTCTTGGCAATGTGCTAGCTGGACCAGTTGTGCTTTCTCACTATATTGTGCAACGTACATATCAACTTACTCTGCTCTATCATTTAAATATTGTGGTATGAATCGTTTCACAGTCAGGTAATAAATAAAGGGCCGTGCTGCATTCAAAGAGCAAGTTATCTCTAAGCGACAGGAGCAACATGTGCATCTTCTGGATGCTGTTGTGCAATTATATACTTCGGGTTCATAACAGCAATGAGAGTGCATTTAAAAACATGACAACTGTGAGAGAAAATATCCAACTAATTATGGCAGTGACAAAATTCAGCGACTTTAAAACCTTTCAAAAGGACATTGTCACTTAATAATAACCTTTGTTGAAATATTTTAATTGGACATTATTACTTAATAGCAACCATGAATAAACCCTTTTAAAGGGGCATTGTCACTGAATCACAAAAATCTGGAGAGATGACATAAGCCTAGTGCATGGTAATTTCATATATCAAACTACTATTTATAAAATGTCAATTTATAGATAGATTTTATAGGTCAATAAAAACATTACCATACTCATTTTATTGACCTTGTAAGGATGAAAGCATACACTAATCTAATTTATTTTATGTATTTAACAGGTCTTAGCACTTTTCAAAATGTAGCAGTTCACCAAAATGTTACAGACACAGAGAATTGTAAATAAAGGTACACTCCCTCCCTCCCCCCCAACAAAACTGACACAAAAACACTATTCAGTAGATATACCAAGTCTTTGTAAGGCAGGTGTTCTGGGCTAAGATATTGTAGCTGGATCCCTAAACACTGGATGATCTTCATACCTCTTTATTCTTGTTGATGATGACCTATTTGAATTGGTAATTTTTCTAGAACTGCTATTTTTTTTCCAATATTTTATGTTTCTCATAGAAGTTATTCCATATTCCTTGCTGAAGGGCTTTATGTGTGAAGAGTGTATCCTCTTGTTTTCCATTATATGAAAAGTGCTGATTTAGAATAGAATTTGACATTTTAACAAATTACCCTTGTTACAACCCCCCATGGCTGTCAATCAGACAACCAGCCCTGTTAGATCCTGGCTGTTTAGCTCAGTGGAGACAATTGCTCAGAGCACCTGCCTTGCAAAGACTTCTCATTGAGCTGCTTTTGGAAGTTTGTGATTGGACAACTGCAAAAAGTGTGGGCAGGGTCAGAAGGGGAGGGCACTAGACATGAGATATGAAGCTTTTGCAAACTGTTTTGAGATAAAACTCCCAATGAAAAAACACACACAATTAAATGCATACATGTTTCCTTTGTGGGGCATATCTGCTAAACAGTGATTTCTATGTTGTTGTGTTTTTTTTTAAGGGGGATGGGGGGAATTAAATACTCATCCTTTAGTCCTTTTTTATATAGATATCATAACTAAAATATAAATATTTTCATACCTAATTATATCTATACTGTTGGCGGTTATTGAGAGACCTGACATTTTAAGGACATCTTGTAGCAATGGGGGAATAAAAAGCAGAAAGACTGAGCAGAAAGAAGCCTCGGAGCATCTTTTACCTGCTGGCACAATTTGCTTATGCATGTACTGTTGGCATTAAATCTTTTATTGTAATAATGTAGGACAGCACAGTCAGAGCTAGGGACGAGATAAAAAAAAACACCCAGCATCGTTAATAATGCTTGAGTAAATGATTTATAATTATATAAATGTCAGCGCTAGCTAAGCCTACTCTTTATTAATAGCTTTATTAATTATCCTGCTGTAAAGTAGTGATACTCCAGCTATTAGATAGTGACTGCAACACTTGGCAGGTTTAATTCAATAATTTTATGTATCAATCTTAGAACAAACCAAGGATCCATTTAGAAATTTATGATAATGTAGTCACACACACAGGCTTTCGCCATATGGGAACATAACAAATGTCCAATGACATTTATAAGGATACGCGCAAACATCAGACCTAGTTGCTTCCAAGTCATTATCCACTTGCTTGCTTATACAGTCTCCTTCTCGTCCAACATTTCATAGTATCACTACTAGCCCAAACATTCCATGAAAATCTGCAGGAAAGGAGGGGAGGCTGGGGGGAAATGGCACCCTCGCCTTTTAATTGAAAATAAATGATGCATCACGTCCAATGAAATGAATGTCACAGTACACCCATCTTGCTGTCACTGTCATAGTTTTATTACATTTCCAAGAATAATTTCAGCAGGCCAAGTTGGATTTAAAATGCAATTTTCAAACCAGCAAGCAAAAGATCAAGGACTCATTCCA